CTCAGAAAAACCAGCGAGTGCTATAGTGTATGGTGGGTGTGTGGGGTATAATTAGTGTTTGAAAATTTCATGATAGCTATATTAGATAGCTATTAGAAATTACAAATTAAAACAGCAATCGGAAAAATATAAATTTAATTGAGTCATGAAAGTAAAAACTGATGTTTATCATTTCAATGTTTTTAGATAAAATTTTAAACAATACTACCAAATGCTGGTGGCACATGTTGCCCATGGCCCATAAGAGTACAACAGTACATACTGCTCACAACCAGCTATATCAAATATATATCATGTATAAATAAGTGCAGATTATAGGTCTATATCTGTTTGAAAACTGACAAATACATAATATAATATGTACAAGTATTAAGTATACGTATATGGCTATATCTATGTATTTATAGGAAAATGCAATTTATTTTTATACAGTTATATCTAGGTACAAGGAATACAGTTAGAATTGGAAAGAGTGAAGACGATTTGTTTGTGATAAGGGGCTAGAGCACAAAACCTAATTCACATGTGCCACATAACCTTGAAACTGTTCATGTTCACACTTTAGGAAATAAATTACTTATAGAACTACTTACGAACGCAGCACTGTGATTAACAATTAATTTCAAACAATTTGGTCGAGGTAGATTGCAGGGGCTAACTGCATACACTCATAATTTGAAAAGAAAAAGGATATGTTATGCCAATTAAACAATTTTTCATAAATTTAATATGTAGGTATACTTATAAATTTTCGTACATTAATACAGCAGCGTTTTTATAGTTTATTAGACACTTTATTTTCACAAGAGATTCGCTCGTTCTTTGTTATTCGTAAATCGAATTATGTAATGTAATTCGGCCCTATACTGCGCCTTCTTTACTGCACGGTTATTCAAATTAATACGTCTCGCTAAGGTATCTGACGTAAAATAAAAAAATAAATATTTGTAAGGTCGTTTCAGCGTGTAAATAATAGATACGCACTTCAACCCAATATTGTACAGCTGTGACACGAGATTTTTCTTTTTTTTTTCTATTGAAAAAAAATTGTAAAAACAAATAATTACATTTTGACCTTCACGGCAGGCAACTATAATGCTACCTTATACCAACCACCCATAACATATTTGTTTGAAAAAGATTTTATTCGCATCTTGACGTACCTTTATAGGTACACATTATATTAAATATTATAATAGAATATGACTATAGAAGATTTTCGCTATAAATGTTATTAAAATATATATTATATACATTATACATATACACTGTGCTCACTATTCAGTGTATACCTTAATATGCAAACCGAAAAAAACACGTATTTTTCTATTATCGATAATGACGAGAAGCGTACTTATATATATTTATATAGGTATGCTTGAAATATAGAATTATTATAGAATCATTAATTTATATAGGTACATAATGTGATTGTATAGTAAACGCGACCTCTTCCATACGATTACAGATAATATATTATAGCATGCAGTGGCTGCAGTGCAAATAATATATAGATAATAAAATATATTTAGTGATTATTAATTATATTACATTATAAATAATGGCATAGACATGCACATAACATGCGCGAAAAAAGACGATGTCAGTGCAATGATCATTATTGTTTATACATAATATTATGTAATATAATTGAATATGAGTACCTACCTAAATACTTAGACCACAAACGACAGGACTATAGGATCACACAAATGTTGGGCCCCCGCCGTTTTGTAATTATTTAACGATAAGTACAGAAAAAATATTCAATTTCATTTTCAAACATATTAAAAATATAGGTATACTTATGCTTACATAATATTATGGAACTTAATTTTCTACTTACAATTAAATTATTAAATTTAGAAAATAATATGTATTTTTGAATTTGATGTATTATTGTACTAACGTAAGTAATATGCGTTCAAATTAATAAACAGTGTTCTAGTCGTTGTAGAATATAAAGGTTTTTATGGCATCCGCGATCGTCGTGTACGTGGTCAATTGTAACAATAACATTATTATCGAATGCGTTTCTAAAAATGTACACACCGTGCAGGTACGGATACAGACCCCCCCCCCCCTTAGACTAGGACTTCGGTACTTAAAATTGTTCAAAACTTAAACTAAATGCCCATGGTTTTATGTACTTTATTTACATTTTTTGTCTAACCCCCTTTTTTTCATTTCTAGATCCACGCCTGACACCTTGGGTCTGGAATTATATAGCAATATGACGGGCAACGACGAATTCTACGACACATCAATATACAATAACAATTTAGGTAATATCGACCATTATTTTTATATTATTATATGTTCGGAACTTCGTAAGTAGTAGCTGGTGACAATGTACATACAATAAGTGAATGACGTTTACACCTTTACAAACTGTAGTTAAAAGTAGGTACAACTTACAAGGTTTTAGTAGGGACTATATTATTATAGTTTTCATTTTCATTTAGCGAATAGTTTTATATCGTTTACTACAAATTTAAAAATCAAAACATTTTTTATTATCTTGTTTACTTATTTGAAGCCCCACCACGATGTATTCCGCCATGAGCCACCGAATAGCTAAATCCACTCCTGTTTTGTGAACGAGTATAACATAATATTATATATCATGAATTCATAATGGCACTTCTGCATAAATATATGTCATAAACTTATTGTAATTGTATTTAATATATACGACGAGAAATTATTTGATTAAAGTATATACACCCACCTATACTTCCTAAAACAATTATGAATAATAATTCCATCAGTAAAGTTTTTATTATGTAGATTATATTATACAATAATATAATACAATATAACAATGTACATAATAATAATAAAAATGTGTAATTTTATTTATCGTATATTTTTGAATTCATGGAATTTTTATAAATTTCCTAAGGCGGGTTTCCACTATACACGTTTGCCGTGTACACGAAAAATGTCCAACAACAAGGTATCGTGGTTAATCGTGTCCGTGTGGTAAATTAACCTAACCAACCAATCACAGAAAAGGATTTGTATGCACGTACACGCATAAGTGTATATAGAGGAAACCCGCCTTTGTCGTAAATATAAGACAAGTATAGGTACTAACTACTACCTAGATACCTACATACTAAATTCAATTTTTAGAAAACTATTTTATAATATAATTAAATGTTGGGAAATTGTATCAAAAATTAAATTTCTTGTATTTTTTTTTTACTCATTATACCTACTGATAAATTGTGTCGAATAGGGGGACGGAGTGGCCTAGTAGACTAAGGCGTCTGCTGTGATGCCCACCGACACCGGTTCGATCCCGGTAACGGGCGGCATTTTTCTTCGGGCAGTCACGGTGTCCGGAGAGAAAGGCCGCCCGCCATCCCCCGCGGGCAATGCAGATATACCTACGGAGGCGCCCACTTAAAAATTCTAGTAAACACTCACGTGTAAAAACTCACCGTTCCAAACCCTAACACGACCACAATACAAGTCTACAAACAGCTAATGGCCATAGATGCCGGGCCTAAGGGACAATAAAAAAAAAAATTTAAAAAAAATTGTGTCAACATACTTCGTATTGCTTTGACAATGTTTGATTTCTTACATTCAACGTCACTTCTGCAGCTGCAATATTTATTGATATGAGCATCAAACAATTTGCCCACTGCTGATGCATATATACAACTGCAGTATTTCCAGAATAGAAATAGTGCTCATTTATACCTTATATACGGTTATAATACCTACGTGGACTATGCACGAATAGGGTAATTTATTTTAATATATTTTCATATGTAAACAGATAATAGCTTGATTTTAATATCTACAGAAAGGTATAGAGTAAACAAAAAAATAAAAATAAAACAACATCTTTTTTTTCTACGAAAATTGCACTTTTATTCGACGAACATTACACTGCACTTGAATATTATACATATAGGTTATATATAATACAAATTCTACGAACACAATAATTACAATCGCAAATTATAATACCTAATAATAATAATAAATAAATAATTATATTCACCTTTTTCTTCAAATTGTTACTTGAGGAATATTGGGGTAACAGAGTTATAACTTTCAAGTCATTTATATGAATATATATTCTATGTATAAAAAAACTAAAAACAAATCATAATAATAATGAGTGTTCGCAGTATACATAATATAAATTAAACATATTATGTATAAGAATAAGGTTAGGTTCTACAGAGTGGGCAGAAAACGAATCGGTATATGAATTAATATTAATTACCAATCATCGGAAATATACACCTAAATAATATGTCCTATAATTATTACTACACATTAAAAACTACATCACAGAATAACGAATACTAAAAACTACAATTTTATTTGCTTAAATAATATAATGATATATACCTATTATAATGTATATATATATATAGGTTCAGTACGTCAATATTTATAGTTAACACGATCATAATATATTATGTATACATTGTCATAATATACTGAAAATGGGTTATATTATCATATATATTTAATAATGATGGCTAATTTGTACAGACCTTACGAATAAGAAAAAAACAAACAAATAAATTATGTATAATATAAAATTTAAGAACAACGGTTAAAATAATATTTATAGGTACGCATGTACACATAATTAACCGTAATGAATAGCGTACATTACGTAGGTATATATGTCCATAGTACCTAGGTATATGTACATAGGAAAATCTATACGTATTACGATAGGTATATTAGGTATATATTGTATAGAATAATAAATTGTTACCGCGAAAGTGTGAGCACTCTACACGAAAGTAGATATCATTATCATCATCGACACGGTTATGTCCAACAAAATATAAGAAGACGTATCACGTATACCTATATAATACCTACTTACGAATTCAAAGTGCGACTTATTACCGAACGCGTGACTACATAATATTATTATTATTAACCTATATTGTGGTCTAAAATTATATTAACATTGTATATACGGGAAACACGTCTCATACTATTATACCTAAATATTAGTTGTGCGGAAAATAAGACGCCGCGGCGTACCGTAAATAGTGTTGTTGTTGTTGGTGGTGGTGCTGGTGTAACTGTTGCAGCTGGCTGTGGTGCATGTGGTGTTGGTGATGGTCTTGGAACGCGATCGCCGCGGCGGCCGCCGCGTGATGGAAATCGTACGGCACCATCAACGGCGCTCGGTACGCGGCCGGCACGATGGACGGGAATCGCCGTAGAATGTCGTCGTCTACGTCGTCGTCGTCATCGTCGTCCGTGTAATCCGCGGCGGCCAGCGGCTGCGCCGGTGCGGCGGGAGACGTGGCCGACAACGGATCGGGTCCGATTAGGCTCTCGATGTCGAACGGTCTTTTGACCGCCGGCTTGGTTGTGCAAGCGGTGCCCGCGTCCACGGCGATGATGGCGTGCCGGTGGTCATGATGTGCCGCAATGTTACGGCTGCGGCTGCGGTGGCGGCGTCGACGGCCGCCGTTGCTGCTGTCGTCGTAACAGTGCAGCTGATGGTGATGGGGAGCGGCCGCTGCACCGTGTTGAGACGACGGTGGCTGTGGCTGCGTCGGAGGTGGCGGGCTGCCGGCCGACGACGAACACGGCGAAGACGACGACGCGGACGACGCGCCCGACGACGAAGTAGCCGCCAACGACAACGACGAGGCCGCCGACATGGATGGATGGTTGCGCTGCATGTGCGCCAAATTGTTAGCCAGAGCGATCAGTTCGTTGTCCAATCTGAATATAAAAGAAGATAACCATTAGAATGAAGCAATATTTACAAAAATATTCATATTATTATATAGCCGGTGTATTTTATTATTATTTATAATAATATAATATATTATAAGTTGAGGTATATCTCAACTTATTTATATACATTATTTAATATGTTAGGGGTGTGCCTGATAGGGAGATGGGGTTTGACTGAGGCATATATCATTATTTATTTAATAGGTAAATGTAAAAGTGTACATATACCTATATATTATATTTATATGACATTTCATAATATTAAGCACCAATTGTGTAGTCGGTACATAATTGTAGGCACTATACTATTATAGTAGTAGTACCTACATTATTATATATGGGTACAGGTTAGTATTGGTAATATTGTCATATAATGATCAACATTAAAATAGATTATCCCTATATAATCATAATTTCATAATAATATAATAATAATATATTATATACTTTGCGCACCTGTCCTTGTCGGACTTGACCAGCTTAAATCGTTTGCGGCGCCGTAACAGCGAACCGTTCTCGAACATGTCCAGGGCGGCCGGGTGCAGAGCCCAGTAAGCACCTTTGCCCGGTCTGTCTGGCATTCGTGGGATTTTCACGAAACAGTCGTTGAACGACAGGTTGTGCCGGAGTGAGTTCTGCCAGCGTTGCGTGTTCCGTCTGTAGTACGGGAACTGGTCGCTGATGAACTTGTAGATGTCGGACAGCGGAAGCATTTTCTCGGGCGAACTCCAAATGGCCATGGCCGTGAGCGATATGTAACTGTACGGTGGTTTTTGGTCGCCGTACGAGTCGCGACTGGGCCGCGGCATTTTTCAAAACTTTTATGCTTACAAAATTGTTGTTATTATAATATTATATACCCGAATATAGCTGGTATATGGGTATTTTAATGAACACACAGTAACAGTTCCACGGTCGATTGGTTTTGCATAAAATGTTCGCGACAACAACGCGCGCGGGCGACTGCAGTGTACAATATTCTATAATACGGAAATATGATAACACAGACCGTCGTCAAAACCAATTATTATTACCGAAAAGCACACGAACAATATTATTATTATTATTATAACGACGATAAGGCGTACGGCATTACAAAACGACTGCGACGGCGTTCGAGTGCGGACTGAACGGATGCGGTGCAGTTGTGGCGGCGTGGCCGGCTAACGTCACGGTCAGGACAGGTAGGCCCGCCCAATTGCACGCCGGTGAGGGACTAATGGCCCAGGAGGCGGCCGCTGTCTTAACGCCCGCCTTCCGTTCCCCCCCCCGTCCGGAAACCGGTCGAAGATAAACGTGACCTGCACTGGTGGGGACGGTTTATTTCCTCCTCCAACAGAAATATAATATCATCAAAATCGTCTTCTCCTCTCCACGTCGACCACCAAGACTAAGCGCTGAGTAGGTACGTTTTTCTTGCACTCTGCCGCCCGCTAATAATAAAACATAATATTAAACGTTTGGGACGATGATCGCGCTGGATGGAGGGCTCGTGCGAGCCTCTTCCAGAAACAACAACACGCTCTGCCGTAGGTTCATGCTAATAATAATAATAAAATATATTTTATTAAATTGTATTATTAATTATACTATAAATATATGACTAATCATGCGTGGCCAGACTTTTGCAACAGTATGTGTAGAAAAACGTGAAATGTTCAAAAACATCTTCAAAATATAATTGTAGATAAATAATGTTTATGGTTTTTAAATTTTAACGGAGCCAAACATCCGTGGCCTCTCTTTACACTATACCTATCCAAAGTAAATGATACATTAAATTTTATTAATAAAATTAAATATTTAATTTATTTATTTATAGTGTATTGCAGAGTGCAGACTACATGTCAATAAAAGGATTTATGTCGGTATATAATGGTAACATTATTATACATAATTTTACAATATAGGTATGCACTGAACTATAATATAGAGACTGCGAGTTGCAGAATAAAAATCCCCAACCCTAACAAAAATTATCCCCAGATTACAATATAACTCACAATCGTCAATCACTTGAAATTGATCAAATATTTTTTTAAAGATAATTAGTGTTATTACTAAATTATTAATATTTGATACTGTTTAGGTTTACTATTAATATGAAATTGATATATATATAATAAATAATGTTCAAACATTAACAATAATATTTTTTTTTATTAATTTTACCCAAGGCAACTTAAGACTATTGAGTGGTTCTTAACTGTAGGTTTTTGTAAGCACGTGTGTTTTCAGTTTGGTAGAATTTCAAATTGGGCACCTGTAGTAGCTGGTTTTTGCCATGCCGGGTCAGGGGATGGCGGCCTCTCTCTCCAGACGGATGTCTGCCCGGAGAGAAGTCCCGCCCGTGACCGAGATTCGAACAAGCGACGGTGGTAACCGACACCTTACTCCACTCGGCTACTCCGACCCCCAACAATAATATTATTTTGTCTTATAAAACGATTTGAAACAACATATAACAATGGTTATTTTATAAGAATAGGCATGCAGGTTCATTAACTATTGTTTGATAGTTATTTGTATTATTTGACTTAAAGGGCATTTTTATTTTTTATTTAAAAATCTTTTCAAATTATTTTTGAATAAATGAACAATAAAACAACGTATAGTAGTTATTACAAGCCGTTACACACTTTTTAAATTCGTATTCCAAAAATTGTAGTCCCTGCTCCACTATATTATGTGTAACAATAAAGATAAAATATATAAGTAGGTACCTACCTAAGTAGGTATATATATTATAATAAATATTAAAACTAACATTTTCGATGGCACAACGACAACACCTTTATTGTCCTTTAATATCAGTATGTAACCTAAACGGATCTCGAAAACTGTTTTCAATCCCCTTCCTAGTAAAAACTAACATTTTCGTAATTGTTTTTACAAAAATGTAGATTAGCTTTGCCGTAAACCACCCACCTTTGTTTTGGTATTCGATCGAAAATAATACAATGGCCAAATTAAAAAACGTCTAAAATATGTTTTATAGTTGACAATCAACTGGTGTCACCTGCGTTATTAGGTTCGAAAAAAAATTTGCAATTTTGAAACTTTCTTTTTGTCTATGACTAGATCGCCATTTACTTGTATTGAAAAGCCCAATTTGATCGGTCACAACACGTTTATTATTGTCCTTCAATATTTATGCGTAACCTAAACGGATCTCGAAAACTGTTTTCAATCCCCTTCCTAGTAAAAACTAACATTTTCGTAATTGTTTTTACAAAAATTTAGATTAGCTTTGCCGGAAACCACCCCCCTTTGTTTTGGTATTCGATCGAAAAATTTTCAAGAAAATAATACAATGGCCAAATTCAAAAACGTCTAAAATATGTTTTATAGTTGACAATCAACTGGTGTCACCTGCGTTATCAGGTTCGAAAAAAAATTTGCAATTTCGAAACTTTCTTTTTGTCTATGCCAAGACGAAGCAAGGAAGGTAAAGTGATGACAATGTTTTTAGTAAGATTCTTGTTTCATCTTGTCTTTGAATTCTTTATTATATAGGTGCGTGACGCTGGCACCCGCAAATTTGAATTTCAACTCAAAAACCACATCAGTAATTGTTATACAATTTGAACAAATTTGTAACCTCAATTCCAAAATGTGTACACCCCCCGGTCACCCGTAAAATCCAAAAACCATTTCCGGGTGCCAGCATCACGTGACGCTGGCACCCGGATTTCGATGTATTTGGCCTATCGACCCAAAAACCACATCAGTAATTGTTATACAATTTGTACAAATTTGTAACCCCAATTCCAAAACTTGTACACCCCCCCGTCTGCTGATATTCATACAAACTATATTTAGCATTTTGAGAATGCTCAAGAATCGTATAGATGTAAGGCATTCTTGTATATTTTTTTAGGTTACATAGCACTGCATTATATATACTTTTAAAGCAATTTATTAGTCATCTTATAATATGCTTTTCCAATTTTCCTATACGTACCTACTTTTTTTTTTATTCAGCTTTTGATTCCGTATACCTAATAAAATCAAAATATAATTATATGACACTAGTTATTTATATGTAATATAATATTTATAAATTCTTCAATTGGAATTATTTTTTATAAGTTAATCTAAAGTTTTAGGTCAATATAAACGTAATATAATACTCATGAACCGATGATTATCCCAAAATTGAGGTACCTCCCAGACAGTATTTTGTAATGACAATATATAATAAAAACAACGTACTAATATTATTCGTGATTATAATGTTATAATAATATTATTAAACAAAAAATTCCTAAGTGTGCTATACGCATATACCTACCTATATTCATAAAAAATCAAAATATAGAGTACGTAATCTGATGAAGTCAAAGGTGATAAGTACCTATATAGGTATATTTATATAATATGTGGTTATAACAGCTGTTATACTAGTGTAACACGAAAAAAACGATATCTCTGTTATGTAATAATAATATATAGGTATAGTAATTACACCACGGGACATATAATATATTATAGTATTATGCAGAGAATAAGTAATCGATGTATATTTTTAAATAATAGGTACCGTTATTAGGCAAGTTGGTCGCTTTTTTCAACTAGTTAAAGTTAAGTTTTTTTAATATAAAAAGTAGGTATCTAAGTTAGTATATATATGTTTTTTCTAAAATTTACCAAAATTCTAACTTATAGTTAGTTAGAAGTTAGTTTGATGAAAATAGTAATTTAAGTTAGTTGTAGAAGTTAGAAGTTAGATTTTTTTAGTTTAAAATATAAATTTGTAAAACCGTTTTTTTCAAATGCAATGTATTACATAATTAATTATTAAGTAAGTATACCTAGGTAAGTTACTAAATATTGAACTATTGCTTATGAATAAAACATTTAATTGAACAACTGTCAACTGATAATTTGATCAAATATTTCAAATAGGTAGGTAATAATCTTAATATATTTTAATATCAGTTATTAAAATATAGAAAATTTAACAAAATAACAAATTTAAAAATTAAATTAATTTAAATAAAAACTAGTAAAAACTACTTATTAGTTTCAACGAGTTAGATTAGATTATTTTACACATTAAATTCAACTAGTTAAGTTACAAAGTTAATATTAATTAAAAACTAATTAGGTAAGTTGGAAAGTAAGTTTCTAACTTTACTTTAATACTTTTTAACTAGTTAGTGCCCTGCATCTTTTGTAATTATACGTATTAAATATTAATATATATTATATTATTGTGAAAAGCTGTAATGACGTTTTTTTTAATACAAAACATTAGGTAATTTATATATAGGTCCCCATAAATGCATAATTTCGATAACCTTTTCTTCGATTTCGGCTGCAGTTCAATTCGTCTGAGACGATGATCGGGAGAAAAAATAATACATTTTTTGCTTGTACGACCGCAACTATACTCAGTTATATTATACAACATTAGTCATTACTAAACCTATAAGTGCGCGTAACACAATATGCTCTGCAGTGGATCTCTTATAGTATAACAATATAATTGCAAAAAGTAAGTACCTCCTAATATGAGTAATAATATTATAAATATATATAAGACGAATCTGGACGAAATTGGAAATGTATGCTTAAGTAATATTTAATTTACTTTATTTCCAATTTTTTAAAAGGTAGAGTAGGTACTCAAAGTGACCAAGACCACTTTTTTTTTAAGGTAGTTATACTCACATTTTTTTCATGTTATTTAAAATTATGTGGACTATACGGCTTTTTATTCTGCAAATAACAATTTTTTTTAAAATCGAAATTTGAAGAAGTGATTTCTCAGTTTTTCTCCTGTATGTGCTGAGAATAATAATTATATAGTAGTCTATATTAAACATTTTAATATAATACTATGAATACCTATTATATCATTTTTTTTTTATTCATTTTTCGGTATTCAGCTATTTAGAAAGAATTTGTCCCGAATTACATATTCGGTGAAGGGCGTGTACATAAATCTTTTTCTAATACTTTGTATAAGTAGTAAGTATATGTACCTATGCCTTCTTAATAATATAATATTATAATCGACAACCGTATAGTCCTACAAGTGGATACTTATCTTTCATATAGATACATAGGATATAGGTACACCGCGGACAGTGAAATGGAGTGCGCACGACTACGATTACTGTCGTCCTCGATGGGGTTGGCTGTGATAGCGATAACAGCACTACTCCCTTACAGTACCACAGCCTCCTTGATAGACCTGTGTCACAGTTACCGGTATGGTGTGACAACGTGCTGGGACCCGACACAACGGTTCAAAATTTTCAACGTGCAGAAGGGATTGGGACCGAACGGAGCTTACACCACGGAGAGCTTCTCGACGCCCGAACACTGCGGCACTCATCTGGACTCACCATTTCACTTTAATCCAGTCGGATGGAAACTGGAAGACATCCCGCTGGACCGAATGGTGGTCGAAGGTAACTGCGGTTACCATGCTTTACCTAGCTGGGGATGGTGGCAGAAATTATGATCTACTTAAATGGTTTGACACACCTTATTCAGATATAGACCCGGTATCGGGGAAAATATGAAACAATAAAATTGATAATGGATGATAAACTAATAATACGCAACTACAAAACTTTCTTTTGACAAGTAAAAATTTAGTAAAAAAAAATAAAGATAATAATTTATAAGTTGACACAGACAATTTTTACTTGCCAAAAGAAAGTCAATTCGGCACCATTTTTTTTACTAATTTAATTGTTCCTAATTTAGGTTTACATCAGTGGCGTAGACAAGGGGGAGACGTAGTGGTCATATCCCCCCCACCGGCCCCACCCATTAGCTTTTTATTACCTTAGTAAAATTATGATAAACTGAGTGTACAAATTGTTTTTTATTTTACATATATAGGTATAAACGATTTAACATTAGTCTGCAGCTGACTAGGTGACAATAATTATTGATTCTCATTTTATTAAAAATACTCTCCGAAAATCTGTAAGATTTTTTCATTGATATTTAATATAATTTATGAAAATTTTTAGTGAGAGATCTGTCTGTATAGTCGGTGAACAATCTGAATGCTTTGTGTACTAACAATGTATTCTAATTTATTATATAAACTGCTTATCTACATAATAACCTTGTGTGTATATAAATATAGGCGTACACGTGAACGTAAGTAAAGAAGTCAACGGAAACGGCGACTTTTTACTGACCGTCGGTCATTTGAAAGCTTGGGAACGGGCCAACGGGCCGCTGCCCAATCGTACAGTGATACTGGTAAACTTCGGTTGGGCTCACAGATACGGTGATCGTCAGTCGTACTTCAACGGACTACGCCAACCATATAGGTATAAAATACATCATCATTATTCATTATCTTTATATTGACTGCAGTTTCGAGGGAAAAACACGTTTTATATTTGAATGCTGAAAGTGTAGGTACCTACCAGCTATAATACAAAATACTATTGTCAAGCGCAACTATAATATTACATTATTTAGAGAATAGGTAGTAGGTACTAGTGATTATCAAAACAAGACTTTAGCAACACTCTTGCTATTTTCACAAAATATATAAAGAACTACGTAAACACTATGTACTATATTATAAGATATTAGACTTAAGTTTCATCTTAGAGATCATAGCACAAAACCTACACACAGCTATAACAGGTATTTAGTTTTTTTCTTTATATATCTTGTGAAAATAGCAAAAGTCTTGCAAGAGTCTTGGCCTTGTTTTGATCAAAACTATAGTAGGTACCTAGTACCTACGCCCTTTTGGAAAATGTATAACCAGCCATAAATATAGGTACCAACACATATGATTTCATAAAACTTATATATCGCTGCAGCCCATATTTTTTTCACCCCTATACACATCTAACACTCGTCGACGAAACCTACGATCTATAATATAGGTAGGTATAGGTACAAGGTATAATACCTCAACTACCTGTATATTATACAATGTGTATAATACTATAATGTGTATATCATGCCATATTATATATGGGGTTATAACCCTGATAAAATACGTATATTTTGAAACACCGGCCAATATTTTTAAACATAATTTGCATCTTGTTATTTTTACCCTACAACGATCATATTATGGGCACTAGGTTTAATCCGGGAAAAACAACCCTACCCACCTGTATAACGAGTTTGTCGTCCCCAGGTTTCCCGGACTGTCCAAGGACGCTGCCGAGTGGATCGTCGACTCCGGCAAAGTGTACGGCGTCGGGGTGGATGGTCCGAGCGTGGACCCCGGAAGGTCGACGACTTACGACGTGCACGGGGTGCTATCCAAAGCCAATCTGTACAACCTAGAAAATGTGGCACTGAACGGCACGAAGTTGCCGCCCAGAGGGTTCAAGCTGGTCATCCAACCGGTCAAGGTCGTCGGCGGCACCGGCGGCCCGGTCAGGATATTGGCTTTCACGAAAGACCAGTTCAAATTGTTGTGATCGGGATGATAGAAATTTTTGATTTTTTTCCCTCGCCGTTCCGTCAGCGACAACTGCGCGATTGCACGACTATATAGTATAGAGGCAGACTGGGCCGACGGAATAACCGGTGGCAGCTCCTCAAAAATATAACTTGTTATTACTATATATATATCCCTAAATATAATAAAATCGATATAAATATTTTGTATTTTCGTTTCACAAAGCGCGAGATGTGGACAATTGCTTGTATAAGGTGATTGAAATTTTAGATTTTGGTTCGGCTGACTGTCCACACCTTTCGACGTCAGTGCATCATCATAAATTAATATTTATATACCTATAACTAGGGCGCCGATTTAAATACGAATTGCATTTTTACAGAATTTTCTTAAACATTAATTTCCATGCAAAAAATTATTTTTATACAACAATGAATTGAAAAAACGAAAATTATTATTTAGCTTTTATTTAAAACTTTTTTGACTTTTAGAGCATTTTTATTTTTGGAAGGCAGTTGGAAAGCAGTTTAAAGATCGACCTACCTATGTTTTTCATCCATTGTGACTCAGTTATCGACTATAGAGTATACCCTATTATATAGGTAATAGAAAATAAGTAATAAATTTTACTCTGTACCTACCTACTTAAGATAAACTTAAGATAAACTACTAAGCACGGCGAATCTTAAGTTGTTTCCAGAAAATATTGGAGATGAGTAGAAGACGTGACCCTCATTTATTAAAACTTTGGTACATAGGTACTATATGTCTATATATACATATTTGAAATTCAAGCTTATACATTTTGTGATGATGATGAAATGACAAAGGCCGGTCGAAATATAGATTTCCAGGGCCGAATAGTTGCCCCAGTCCACCCCTGAAACGTAGCCATGCATAGAAGACATAATACAGGCTCTAAATAAAATTTAACCATGTTCGTACCTACTAAAGTACTAATTATAGATGGGTTTACGTATATTGTATAATATTATATAACCTGAAATGATATGAAGTCTTCATATTGCAGCCAGAATGCAGATATTAGATCATATTCAAAATAATATGCATGAAACAATAATGGACACTTAGTTTATTATTTGTCGTGCTTACATGACAGTTATTTTAGGGATATAACAATACCCCAGTCCCTAAAATTGTGTGTACTACAACACACTTTGTGAAGTACATAATTTGAAAGTGTGTTATTCTAATTAAACCTTTATAATTATATTATGTATAATTTTATATCTTCACATTTTTTTTTATATTTTAATGATTTTTTGAAAAACCACATTTTAATTATTATCTACATTCTACACAGACACACAGTAAACAATATTTTGTGTTGTTACTTCTTACACTCTTAATATAGATAGTTATAATTTTAAACTTTTCTTTGTTATTGAGAGTAGCTATTTTTATTATTATCAGCTTAGTAGTGAACGGTGATATACAGTAGGTATACTAGTGTTTAACTAGAAATAATTTAGATTTGACCGATTAGGGACTATGTGTGTAGTATGAAAATTTTGATATTTTAGGGACTGCAATACCCAATAGTAGGATGCACCGACACACGAATGCCCTAATTGTACTTACAGAAGACGGAAATAACCGCCAAATATAACGAGTTGTTAGGTAAGCTGCAAGTAGAAATAATGAGAGGAAAAATTGGGCAAGTAACCTCCTGTTGTACAGTGCCTAGCTGCTGGTTCGAGCGTAGGTATATGCCTCAACATTGAGGAAGTCAATATAATAAGAAATTAGAGGACATTGGGGTGGGAGCCTAGTTGTCGTCGGGATGTACGTCGGAGCCTCCAAAAAAATTATATCCGGATAACAAAAAAAATTAATGTAAAACAGTATACATTAATTTAGTTTACATTTTGTACATTACAAATTGCAACAATGTACCTATTGCAAGTTTCCTCACCACCTTGGGGCGTAAAATTAAAATCGTTATCACATCAAACTTCTTAATGTCGCCTGAGATATTGCGTTTATTTATCGTGGTTTCCCCAAGTATGAACTTTAGGCCTAATCCACAGAGATGAGAACGGGAGAATAGTCGGATATTTATGAGGGGAACTATAACGACTTAACACTTATCATGTTATAGGTATTGTATTTTAAGTTAAACTGATAATTATTTTATGATAAAACTTTGATTATAAAATATTATAGTATCCCTCGTCAGACAGTCAATTGCCCTCATTGCTAGTCAAGATTTGAACTTTAAATGCTTATAAAAAAAAATTGTGATTTGATTTTTAATATTTTTCAAATTTCATTGTAACAATAGGTATACTCGTACCTAATAGTAGGAGCCTTGTATTAAATGTTCAAGCTTTTTTTACCCAACAAATAAAGTTTTATTGACATTCATAGAAAAAAAAGGCTAATAAAATTGGAAACTGAAAATGTTCCTACACAGTTCAAAACAAATCAAAATATTTAGAAAAATTTATAGTGCATAGAAAATGCAAATATAAAGAATCAGTGAAAATCGCATGTATATACACTAACATTTGTTTTAGAGTTACACCAAAAACCAAAATCTATTTTGTCGAAAACCGATTTTGCATAAAAATTCTTGTTTTTCCATAATTGTTATGTTGTTTTTCCCGCGGCGCTTTTGAAAACTATTGAGAATTTTAAAATTTGACATCCCAAATACACCAATTAGATTCACTTTCCCATCTAACAAGATACTGTTGAAGTAAATCGAATCAGTTTTACTGCCCCAAACCGTGATGACAGACACAAAAAAAAAATAAAAATACACATTGTAAAATTAATACATTCATCACTCCGCTGCTCGGAATCTTTATTATTATTATTTATTTTTATTTGATAGTTTTGTTACGGTTTATAAACATATCATATAAATAGTACAACGGTGGCTCGATGATAAAAAGTACCTACCAAAAAAATGTGTTTTACATTTTTGATATTCTTCGATTAGGCAGTAAAATTATTGATATTTATATTTATATATTTATAGTATAAATCTAATTTTATAAGAACTTGTTACTTACTATATTATGCGTTATGTGCGTAGGTATCTAATGTGCTTTTATTTTAGTTTTAAAAGTATTTTTACTGTTTTGACTTTGGTACGCTGATAGTTATATTTTTCAGACATAATTAAAAAATGTTCATAGTATTGCGAGATATTTTAAAAAAACAATAGATGCATCCTTCATGTTTAAAAAAATTAAAATAGGTGACACGATTCTAAAGTTTGTTATGCCACCTCAACCAACAGTCTGAACACGGCCATGCTAATTATTAAAAATTTTAAAATATTTAGCCAACAAATAATAGCGCTAAAATCGTAAAATCCAATGAAGTCAATCAAAATAAGGTCTATATAGAGTTGCAGCCATGGACTATGGGTATACGGACATAGGTTGTTTGTGTATGTTTGAGGATATGGTGAAAGTGGGGATGATTATATTAATTGGTATATTAGAATATATGGACACCTACATTGTTTGTGTATTTTTTTCCAAGTTAAACACTACATTGTCTTAATAATATACCTATATAAAAACTAAAAAAACATTTCATATATAATTTAGTCTTACAATGAATTAATTATTCAATATATTTTTAATCAATAACTTGATAATTTAAGATTGACACATCTTCCATCTACGTCATCAAAACACACATATTTATGATGTATTACTTTGTCCGCCATGAATTAATTATTTTTCTGCAACGATTTAACATAACTAATGGGATTCTCAACATAAATCAGCTCTGATGAGTGATGATGTAAAAGTTATACCTTTTCCATGGCATAATAACCCATTATGTTGTCCTTTAATGCCTATTAAACCTATTAGACCATTAAAAAAAAAAAATGATGAACAGTCTGATTACAAAAATATAAAATAACAAGTGTGTAATTAATTTTTAATAAATTAGTTATGTATATTTTTATACAATTACAGTAGAAAAAAATAAATAACAAGCTGAAACTAGACTTTCAAGTGTTTTAAAATGTACTTACAGACTAGGGAAATTCTTTGAACTTTGTACAATAAAAACTTGACGTACCCGTTCCTTTAACATTTTTTTTTTTGAATAGTAATGTTTTTAAAAATTGATCTCGACAATCAACAGAAAGAAAAAAAGAGTAATAAAATAAATACAAATTGTTGTGATAAATAAAAAAATAAAAATAATGCATAGCATACATAACTAAAAAAAAATACTGTTTGTGAACTAACATAACTTAAAGATAAGAATCGACCCGTTGAAAATGCACTTTTCTTATGGTATAAAATGAAATTTTGTGTTATAGTTTTCATCTTAATATAACAAACTGGTAACATTTTTTTTTTCTTCCTTTTCGTATTTTTATATAAAAGTATATTATGTTAATGTTGGTGGATAACAGACTTTTAATCAAAATTAATATAAAAAAAAAGTTAATAATAAAAATAATAATATAACAAGAGATTATCTATGCATGGACCCGTTTAGAGGTTGTAAATACGAGCCGTTGTATGCCGAAGTGGGGTATACACTATTCTGATGGTGTGGATCTTGTGTATGCGTCGTGTACTGTAGTTGTCCAGCTGTCTGGTTCATATAACTCGCGGCAGATGGTGGTGGAGTGGATTGCGACGCTACCCTGTAACCGTTAAAAGGAGGTGGCGCACCATACTGCATTGTCATAAGACCAACGTTTGGTGTCGCCGAAGAAGCACGTGTTTGATGTCCATACTGCCGTGACTGATTGGTCTGACCTGCCTGTTGGTACAACTTATGATAAGCAACCGCAGACTGTTGGAGCAAGTGTGCGGCGGCTGCAGATGCAGCGGGAGGTGGTGGAGTCATATTGGCAGGGGAAGAGGCTGGTGATGATGCAGGTGAAGATATATGCCTGCGGTGGTGATCCAATCCATTTGTCATTTGTTGAAGTTTGGAAAGGTTGCACGATGCAATCTGTGCAGCTGCAGCAACTGCGTGTTGGTTAGAATGTGACAAGTAAAAATCAGC